CCCAACATGCACAGTCTTGATTGTAGGCAAGACTCCACCTCCCCCTTGGAATAACCATCATATAAGCAAGACCTGCTTCATTGCACTCTTTCAGTTACTGCTGCAATTTTAGAAACTTGTTATTTAGCTGTTTCTTGCCCCTTTTCAAGCAAACAAGATTGGTTCACGTAGTTTGATTTCTATGTTTCGCCACCATGTTGCTCCGAACATGTCGAAGACAATACTTGTGGTATCCATAATATGGTTCAAGCCACAGATCGACATTATTTTTCAGTGTACTGATTATCCTCTTATGCCGATCTGATATAAGACACGTGATTCTGTCGTATTCAATATGAATCCTCAAATTACTAAGAAAAAATGACCAGCTGTCCTCGTTCTCCTCATCTACAATTGCAAAAGCAATGGGCATGATATGGTTGTTAGCAGTTTTCACCAATGCTACAAGAAGCTTAACCTTGTACTGACCGCGGAGGTGTGTACCATCAATACTCACAACATGTTGACACTTATGAAATGTCGCAATGGAAGGACCAAATGTCCAAAAAACATATTTGAAGACTCGATGTTCATCATTCTCAGTCCCAAGCTTCCATTTTCACTCAACAACTGTGTTGGGGTTAGACTTCTGTAGTGCAGCCATATACCTATCATATATACAAAACAGTCCAATAAACAGTCCAGTAATTTCCTAGTAAAACAGTCTGGATTTGCATCAACAACCAGTTTAGAAAATAATCCAGTGTTTTCATAATAAAACAGTCTAGATTTGCATAAACAATCCAATATTTTTTAAAAAAGTCCAATATTTTTTTAATAAAACAATCCAGATTTGCATAAACAGTCTAATATTTAAAAAATAGTCCAGTATTTTCATAATAAAACAGTCCAGATTTGCATAAACAGTCCAGCATTTAAAAAATAGTCCAGTATTTTCATAGTAAAACAGTCCAGATTTGTATATACAATCCAGTATTTAAAAAATAGTCCAGTATTTTTTAATAAAACAGTCCAGATTTGCATAAACAGTCCAGCATTTAAAAAATAGTCCAATATTTAAAAAACAGTCCAGTATTTTTCTAATAAAATAGTCCAAATTTGCATAAACAGTCCAAAATTTATAAAACAGTCCAATAATTTCCTAATAAAACAATCCAGATTCGCATAAACAGTCAAACCAAAAATATCATAAATAATAAGTTTTAAATTTTTACCAGGGCAATTCGGTTAAATTATCGATCTAGTTACCATAGCACGCTTCGATGGCCTCTTGCATGCCATGCCTTCTTGTACTTCACATCCACATTATAAGTTGTCTTCACAGTAGATTTGATTGACTTCACCTTAAAATCAGGATCATCTTCAACACTACGCCTTATAAGTATGGCTATTAACTTCGACGTCAAATTGTGATGGTCATTTCCTCTGGTTAGTCAAACGCAATTATGACGATCAACCTAGGACACAATTTGCCACAGACCATGCTTCTTGAAAGATGCATGCGTCCTCCACGCACAAGTAGATTGGCCAATTGAAATTTGCATTCTTCTTGTCGTGCACTCTGTAGCTCATGACTTACGGCCAGAAACAGTCACATAAAATTATCTGTTGTGATGTATGTTCCAGTCCTCGATAGCTATCTCAACTTCATCCCTGTTGTTGAAACAGGTGTCCCAATCAAGGTTTTCTCTATCACCTTTCCACATCTTAACTCCAAATTCATCTCGATCCACTATGCTTTTCTTATAATCACCAACATCTTAATATACATGCTGACCTAAATCAGAAGTGACAAACATCTTCACTGCTTCTGCTTCTGCTTCCTATTGTTCTTCTTCTAAGTCAGTGTCATCTGACACATCCGTTTGGTAATCAATTTCTTCTTCGCTTTCTACATAAGTTCCGTCAGATGCATCATCTCATCTGATGAATCAAAGTCATCATGTTGACCCCCGGCTTGTGCCTCAGTAACATATCCATCGCCGCTGGTCCTGCTAGGCCCTGCTTCTGCATGTTGTTGAGAATTATTCATCCAATATTGCTATTGTGACCCAAATGTATCTTCCTGTCTCTGTCCAGCAAGATCTAACAAATTTTGGGCATGCACAGTGTCTTCATTTTCAACATACAGCTCCAAATATAATGAACCTGAAAAATAATAAATAATTTCCACCGTCGAGTCGTCCGTAATTGTTACACTTCGTCTTACACTGCTGTTTTCGAACAACAAAGTAATTCTCAGATTTACATATTCTCTTTCCCATCACAATCTCTGCCCAAAAACTCAGAATACGACAACCCACGCGCAATAACTAATGTCGCATCTGCCATGTTATCAAATGTTCTGATCGTACCATCCTCTACAATATATTTATTTCTCCAGTACACATTAATAAAATATGGAACATTCCATGCCATTTTTCCTGTAAAAAATATAATAATTCCTACTAAATTAACTTTCTGCGCAACAAATATTCCTATCCAAATAAACACGATCCTACTAAGTTCAATATTTTTAAACTGAATAATCTCATTCAAAATTAATAAACACAATAATTAAATAATTTAATACAATATTAAATACGATTAAAGGAAATCAATAACATCAACGCATTACTAACCTTGATGATAACAATAATGTGACAAAAGAAAACAGGTTCAAACTAGCTACATCTGTGGATTTTTCACTTCCCTTCATAACTTTCAAGATCTGTGAACAGTGCAAATTTTCATTTATATATAAGTCGAAAAACGGATTTTTCACTTCCGTTTTTTTGATTAAAGCTGCCACTATAGTGTCACAAATAGTTAGACAGTGTCAGAGCAATAATGGAGCTGGCAAACTGACAACCAAGAAACGGAAATTCGTTTTCCGTTTTTTGAGCATTATAAAAACGGAATTCTAATTTTCATTTTGCTTTTTTTACTTAAATTATCTAGTATTATTTATGCCGAAATGGTTTTCCCATTTTTTAGAATTTTGAAAATACAAAAAATAAAAATGGATAATGGAATTCCGTTTTATAAATGATAGTTAAGAAAATGGAAATTGCATATCCGTCAAAACTTTTCAGGATCACAAAAAGATACAAAAAATAAAAAAATCTTCTCTTTTTTTCTAGCATTTATTTAGGTAAAAAGCCCAAAGTATTAGTCAATTCTAATTTTTGGCATATTTTCAACCGGATGAGACCCTAGCTTCTACAATTACATGAAATGGTGAGGGTTGTTTCTATAATTTTAACTTCTCTCCACAATCATTAGAAATTTAAGATTTAGGAATAAGGACGTTAATTATTTTTTATTTTATTTTATTTTAATCTTTTTAAACAAGGTCTTAATTTTTTAAACTGGGGCGTACCTGGTGGGCATGCCCCCATTATTATTGTCTCGTAAAACTATTACAAGGATAGTGCATAAAAAACTTACCCTAAAAAAGGATTTTCCATATGATAGGCTACTCTAACCAAATTCGAATATATGAAAAAGACACTGGATTAATGATCAAAACCCTTTTACAGATCTTGGTAAATCAACTAGATTTTGAACGACCTTCCGAACTTCCACTTGATGCTAGCCTTGCAAAACTGATCGCAATTGAATTTGCTTCCCTCTATATATTTGCCATTGCATATGCTTTTTTTTGTAGAATCACAGAAATCTCCTCCAATTGAAACTAAAACCGCCAAAGAAACAAAGCTTTCTTATTAAAGATATCAGCTAGAGTTTTGTTATCTATTTGCGCAAAAACTTGAGACAAGTTCGAACGCTCAAATTTTCTCAATACGAACAAAATTCCAGAAATCTCCGCATCCAAACTATTTCCATTACCCCTAAAGCTACACATTCCTTCACTTCCTTTTATGATAAACCCGTACCCAGCTTCTTCTTATACACATGAACCTTCAGAATTTAGAATGAAAGTACTTGGAAGCAAACGAACCATGCAACGTTTATTTCTTATGAACTTGTTCAATTTAATGCCAAAATGCCGCTCGAAATAAACCCTTTTTTTGCATCATTTTGTTAAACAAGGGTTAATATCAAAAACTCCCCGAGCTATGTTGTAAGGTATCTTTTTCTAAAAAACCAAAAAAAATCTTAACTAGTAAATCAATTATCAAAAGAGTCTTCCGACCACTGAAAATTGATGTGAGAATATGAAGTTGGCTAAAAAAAATTCCATAAGACATTTGTACCCCCATGAAACCCTTCATGAATTTTTTCAAACTCTAATAAAATCAAATATTTACTGGTAATTCAAAATTCCCTTTTTCTCAAGCTCATAAAAGAGAATCACTTTTCCCCTCAAATATCAATTGTGAAAAGTGAATCTTGAATTTAGAAATGATATTTTATTAGAGTTGGAAAAAAAAAATCATGATTCCTCCCCTCAAGTAGTTACAGTGAAAAATGAATTTTGAATTTAGAAATGAATATTTGATTTTATTAGAACTTGAAAAGAAAAAAATTCCAAGAGTTGTAGGGGTAAAAATGCCTTTTTGGTACATTTTGGGGCCGACTTCAAATGCATACGTCAGTTTCAATCGCTGAAGGACTCGTTTGATAGTTGAATTACTTACTAGTGTAGAGATATTTTTTATTTATTTGAAAAGTAAAGGTTCTTTTAGATAACCAATTAAACCTTGGGGAGTGTTTCTGAAATTAACCCTTTCAACAATAATGCAACAATTTGAATTCCACCCACAGTGGGGAGCATAAAGGAGAGAGAATGACGTTTTATAATATGACTCTGAATCACAACGGAATTTCGAAAAACACAAGAAAAAATTGCTGGAAAATAAAAACAAAAATATATAAACCTCTCCGACCTTCGTCCTCTACCTCTCGTTTCCCGACAGAATAATCCCTGAAAGCACACCAGTGATTTCAACCTGCAAGTCGGTTTTTCTTTTGTTTCTATTTTAATTTTCTGGAATTTTTTCTTTGCTGGGCATACATAGGAATCAACACCATTCAGTTAAGATAGAAGAGAGAAAATGAGCAGCAAAAAGGAAGAAGAGCGCAACGAGAAGATTATCAGAGGTTTAATGAAGCTACCGCCCAATCGCCGTTGTATTAACTGCAACAGTATGGTATGTTTTTCTAATTTCTTGTATTTTGATGTTCTTTTTTAAAAAATTTAATGTGCAGTGACTGTTTATAGGGTTTTTTTTTTTTTTTTTTCCTTGAACATTGTTTTTGGGCGTTGTAGGATTTTCGATGTTTTGTGTGGAATTGTAATGTGTTTTTCTTCTCATACTTGGCAGGGTCCTCAATATGTGTGCACAAATTTTTGGACATTTGTGTGTATGACATGCAGTGGAATTCAGTGAGTATTCGTATTATGTTGCAGTTTAGTTATCCTTATGATTTTCACTTTTCGTTGCTTGGTTTTTATTTATTTTCGGAGGCACTGCTATTAATTGAGTTTGGATTTCCTGAAATGAAAATTTGGTTGCTTAAAAGTTGGATGATTTGTATTATACTTCTCTCTCAATTTTGGAAAAGAGCTGCTGAAGATGCAGAAGTGAGAACTTTTTCATCTTTTGTTTTTGCTGTGATTGTCTTTGGCTGAAGTTAATCAGCTCTTCGTCATCTCCTTTTGGTGCCGGTTACTCTGATTTTCAGTTGTCACTATTTGTGAAATGTCAAGACCTTTAACTTTGTTATAGACAATGGTATGATCTCGGTTTGGAATAACCACTTGTGTTCGTGGTCAAGGTCAGGGAAGTTGTCATATGTTTGGCTAATATTTAATTTGCAGGGATGGAAATTCTATGTCTTTTCGGATTAGTTACATGAACTGAGGTTGTTTTCCATCTCCCAATCTACTTCCCAGTTAAAAGCGGCATTTGAAAGCCAGTGGTTTCATTGTAGTTTAAATCTTGGAAAGAGGTTTTCGTTCGCTAGATGAGCATTGATGATTAACTTTCGTCATTCTTTCATGATATTAGATTCCTAGTGAAACCAATCACTGTTAATGACTGCAATACTATATTCTTATATGTTAAAATTCCGTCCTTACATTTTAAATCAAATTCCCAGTTTAATGAAAAGCCTAGATTAACTGCTGGAATGCAGTAGATCTGTGTTACAGTTTTGCTTTGGATATGGTTTTCATAATGCTGACCCCAGTCCTGTTAAGTAACCTAGTTGCTGCAATGTTTTTGCATCGATTCCAAGCATGTTTGTTCAGCCCAAAATCTTCTCTATGCCTGTGAAAGGAAGCTTCTGGAAGATTCCCCTTAAACTAGAATCTTGATAATAGACTGCTTTGTACTCCAGGAGAAGCTGGAATAAAAATTTGAAGGCTTTCTTACTAAGACTTCAGGAAAAGACTCTTAATGCTGAATACTAGGATGCAATTTCTCAAAATAATAATTACGCTTGAATGAAAGTGCTGGAGGAGGAGCTCTTAGAAGTTATGTTTGATGCATGCTTATCAAGTAGCATATTCAAACTCGGAACTGGCTCCTTAGCCCTGGAGGATGGCAAATTGCACTTTGTGCTTTGTAGAAACTTTGGACAATGGCTTTCTTATGAATTGCCAGCTTCAAATAAAGATTGATTGGATGTTCTATAGAGTTCTCTGCTTTTATTTAAGCTACAAATGTATTATGATGTTAAGTTACAACTGCAATTCTTTACTCATGACTGAGAAAAAGACTCGGGAGCTGAGATTCACTGAAACCATGTTGAGAGCAGTCACATGATTGGTGGAGTTTTTGATACTATACATTGCACTATATATGACTTGGTTAATTATTATTTTATCTTGGTACTCTGTTTCATTAATGTGTACTACAATCATGTCTGACTTGTTGCATGGCAAAAGCAGCTTAGTGGAACTGTTGCTTATAAGTTTTTACTTGTTTCTTTTTGGCATATACTGCATGTTTTAATTTCTGATCAGCCACATTAGCTGCCTCCAACTTCTTTTACTACTATTTCTTTGCTTCAACTTCGTGTATTCATTTTGTAATGTCTGCTAACTCACTCGTCCAGTAAAGCATATCCGATCATTTAACTCTTAAGTTGCAACCTTCATTTTAATTATAAGTCGAAGTTGTATCATGTCGCCTGACTACCATTTTTATCGAAATGATCTTGAAATAAATTCCTACTTACATATGTATGTTGTTTTTCAGCCGGGAATTCACTCACCGTGTGAAATCTGTTTCAATGGCCAAATTCACTTCCCAAGAAGTTGAAGCTCTTCAAAAGGGTGGCAACCAGGTAAGAAAATGCGACACTTTGCTGTAAGGGTGTGTTACTGGATAGCATGTTCATTTATTGTTGCTGTTTCAGCGTGCTAGGGAAATTTATTTCAAGCTTTGGGACCCACAAAGACACAGATTTCCTGATAATAGGTGCTCTCCAGACTTGTTTTTGATTTGCTTTTAAGTTCTTCTACAAAGTTCGTTGTACCCCAGTCAAATTAGTTTGGAACAAACTTTCTCATTTTTTGCCATGTCTTTAATTGTAGCAATGCTGACAAGGTTCGGGAATTAATAAAGAATGTTTATCTGGAAAAGAAGTATGTCGGTGGTAGCTCATCTGACAGACCTCCCAGAGATTTGCAGGTGACTTTCTGGCCAAATATATGATGATATTTTTAGACAATATCTTGTCAGGAGCAATAAAGTTGATATAGCAACTAACATAATCTTATTGGCCTTGGTCTGCTGTCTAACATTTTGGTCTTCCATTCACTTTCCAGAACAGTAGAAGTCATGATGAAGAAATTAGGCGAGCAAGTTCTTATCATTCTTATTCTCAGAGCCCACCATATGATTTTCAATATGAAGAAAGGCGATATGGAAAACATGCACCAGTTCTCTCCAGAAAACCTGGCTCAGATCGGGGCCTTTATGAAGGAAAAGTCTCTAGTTTTTTGAGTCCTAGCCGTCTAAGGGACCATAGCCCTGGTCGTTTAAGTGATCCAGTTTATGAGGACAGCTTTGCACTTGAGCGATCTGACTCCAGAACATCAGATTATTCGGCATCTAGTGGAGGTGACCCATTTAGGTCAAACATACAATCACCTAATTCCCAGAGAGATTTTGGAAGTCCAACCAATGAATTTTCACGAGATCATTCTAGCGAAGATATTGTGCGTTTCACAAAGAATTCTAACACAGGTTCACCCGCCAGGAGAAGCTTTGGACGGATGTTATATCCACAGGTAACATGTCTACCTTTTTAAAGTTCCGTGCTACAATCATTGCATTTTTTATCTTATAAAGAACTACCATATATGCTGGTGAATCACAGTCTTCCAAGCCCGTACATATTATTTGTGCAGAAGACAGCAACTTGTTTTCCTTTACTACGCTTACTAACATTTTAGGGACTCTTATATCATAGTGACATGGATTCTTATCAGTATTAGAGCTTAATCTGACTATTAGTTCTTATTATTGACTGCAATTCGAAACAATTTAACCAACCTTTTTATTGATTCTCTACTTTGGCTAAATTGGGAAGTGGTGTTGGTGCTCTGAAGTTGGTTTCTGACTGCAGATTTACAGGAAGTTAAATCTTTAAGCACAAAGTAAAAACTATAGAGCAAGAAATGAGGAATTTCTATGGGTTTTGCTTATAAAATTGTCCTGATTCATGGGTTTCCTGTATCATAGACTCTATGATCATTAATCACCAATTTTGGAAAAGAGCTGCTGAAGATGCAGAAGTAAGAGCTTTTACATCTTTTGTATTTGCTGTGATTGCCTTCGGCTGAAGTTAATCAGTTCTTCGTCATCTCCTTTTGGTGCCGGTTACTCTGATTTTCATTTGTCACAATATGTTAAATGTCAAGTCCTTTAACTTTGTTATAGACATTGGTATCGTCTCGGTTTGGAATAACCCCTTGTGTTCATGGTCAAGGTCAGGGAAGTTTTCATATGTTTGGCTAATATTTAAGTTACAAAGATGGTCTGATTGATTACATGAACTGAGGTTGTTTTCCATTTCCTCTATCATAGACTCTATGATCATTAATCACCAAACATTTAATGAATATCAAAGAAGGGATGCTAATCAATTATTTGCATATGTAAGTGTTTAAATGAACACAATCAAATGTTTTGTGGTTTTGTAAGGATATCATATGCAGAATTACTCAGGAGCTCATACAAAATGCGGTCTTTAGCATAAGATAGTGGACTCTATTGTTTTAGGCTAAAAATGAAATGTGCATTTATAAAGGCGATTTAAGAATAAAAGAATGGGTATCCATTTTGCTCAAATGACTGGCCAAATGCGTATGCTTGTCTTTCTTTCTTTATATAAATCAATGTTGGCTCCTTTTCCCTTTTCTTCTGTTGCACATTGTTGACTCCGTCATAAAAACACATGAGAATAAGTAACTATCTCTCTATTTGGGTTCTGTTACTCTCATCATCTTGCTCAGTTTGGTCCATGTTCTCATCTAAGTACATAATAAGTTTTCTGAAAGTTCCTTTCAGATTCTTTTAAGTTATCCCTTTTATATGAGATGATTATTTTTTATTGTGCACAGGCCTAACGTGGGTATGTGAAGGAGGCACCTACACACTTCTAAAGCACCTTAAATGTGTTTTTCTTAAAAGAAGAAAAATTTCTCGAATTCTCATCTGTTGGGGCTAAGCATGACTTGTTGCCCGCAAACACCCCCAAACAAGGGGAAAAAAAACCATACAACCATTTTGATTTCTTACTCCAACTATGGCCCTTTTAATCTTGAAATAAACTTCCTTATATATATATTTTATTCAGTAAGTTACAATGTCTCATGGCTTCACTGATTCTTACATATTCCATTTAGTGGTATTAACTTTTAAAAGGCTTGTAAAGAAATATTTTCTTTGCCTTTTTTGCTTAAGTTTTAGAATTAGTCTTAACTTTGGTGGTTAACTCTTTCTTACATTGTTCACTTAAATGGGTCTTAGACTAGTGTGACAAGGCTCTTATGGATCTCTAAGAGGTTGAGGGATCCAATACTATGAGGGGTGGGCTGGGGAGACTTTCCCACATTTATAGATGTGGGACCACAGGGGTGGTTTTTTGTATTAATCTATATTGAGTTGTGAGAGATATTGCCTTAACCAAATTCTCATTTGTGTGAAGTAAATTTAACTAAATCCCCTTGTATATGTTCCACATGACGGTCACATTTTAACTGAATGCCGTGGAGGTAAAGTAAAATCTGTTTATTTCCTATCATCTTGAAATGTTTGGAAAGATTCATTTTAACTCCTTGTTTCACAACATATGCATACGCAATTTTATACGTATTCCTTATTCTTCAAGTTGATTGATTGACTGTAACTTTTTCCGATCCAGAGAACTGCTTCTTTAGGAAGCTTCGGATCAGTCGACTCCTTGTCGTTCAAGTCTGTCAATTCTGTTGGTTTAGTGGATGCTACCAACGGGCACGAACAAGTTGTGGAACCTCATGAGGATAAGAAATTCACTGCACCACCCCAAACTTCAGTTATTGGGAGTTCTGATGGCTTGGACCTTTTTAATGCATCAGTTGCACAAGATGCTATGTCCACTTTACCTCAAACATCAAATTCTAGGGCTTTTGGTGGTTTGGACCTTTTTAATGCACCATTTGCACAACAATCTGTTTCTTCTTCAACTGTAGCTGGTAATGTGTCTCAATCGCCAGGATCGTCTTCCATCGAATTCAGTAATTTGATACAGGCATCTACTGCTCCAACTGCTAGCACAAATCAACATGCCCAACCCAGTTCATCATCATCTTTGGACCAGTTCCCGAAGGCTTCCTCTGAGCCATCTGCTGTAAATTTCATTGACGAACCTCTCCATTTTATACCTCAAAATGAAGGATGGGCTACGTTTGACACACCACAAAATGTGGTTCCATTTGCCACTGCCAGTTCTTATACGTCAGAAGCTCCTGCTTCTGATGCCAATACGGCGAAAAACTTTGATCCCCTTCTTTCTGTTGGTCAGTGGCCTTCATTTAAAGATACTTCTATGCATGAAACTTCAGTACAGCTGCCTCAGTGGAATGCCGATGTGGGAAGTGTTGGTATCATACCAAGCGCTTCAAGTTCCGAGGTAGGGAACTGTCACCTTAATGCTAGACTAAGACATCTGGCTCTGTTGAGTGTAAATCTGATTTATTTAGCAATGATAGACAGCCAAAGAGATTTAACAATGGTTATTAGCATGTTTTGCAGTCATGGAATGCCTTTGAGAATTCATTTGGAAACTTAGGAGAAAGGACAGAACAGGTTGCAGTTCATCGATCTCCGTTTTCTGATCAATACCTTCCTATAGAATCAAAGGTGATTAATCTCCGGTTACTAAATCTGATATTATTTTCAGCCTCATTTTGAATATTTTAAACTTTGCTGGACATCCACAAAGATGGTCACTGCTGTTTGAAAGAGGAGTGTCTCTTTCTGCTTGCAGATTGTTGTTTTCAGAATTATCTGTATGATACCGCATAATCTCTCAGTTTTATGGACCCTTTTTTCTGGGTACCCACTCATCAAATGTTTCTTTCTCGAATAAATGTTGTTTCTCTTTGGGCTTTATTATGCAGGAAGAACATGGTGGAGCATTCAAATCTACCAACCCGTTTGATCTGCCTTATGATGCTGGAACAAATTCTGAGGATATGGTATGATGCTAGTCTTGGTGAATTATCATGGATTTTTTTTTCTCCCTTCGCTCATGCTTGTTAATGATCTTTTACACGAAGAAGCTTCTTTCTTTTTCGCGCTATTCTACTGAGAGATGTTGGGTTGTAACTAGTAACACAATTCTGTCATGATTGATTCCTCATTTGTGTGTCTTTTCTTGGTTTATATCTCATTTCTTATTTAAGTCAATCCACAAAGATGGTGATGTATCTTAAGCTTCATGTGGTAGCAAACTCTTGATGCACATCCTCCAATTTATTGAGGCATTGATGGGAACCCAAGCATGACTCAGAAGTTGGACTCGATCCACAAATTGGACAAAGTAAAATTAATGGGTCATATAATGCATAGAAACTCCTGCAGTATAGATGAAAGATCTTTTGACTATGGCCGAATGTTCATAGCTTTACTTTATATTTTGAAAAGGCTCTTTTCTCCTGGCTTAAATCCATGACATCAGATGGCTAGTAGCTAGGTATTTTGATTGTATTGTTTGATCCCAGTATCATGAAGTGGATCATGGCACTGAAAAAAGATAGCTAATTGTTTGTTTCTACACGATGGGAGAGGGTTTGTCTGGAGATTAGTGGGAGATGAGAGATAGGGAAAATGTCTTCAGAGTGAGATGTTTGTAGGGATGTTTGGGGTCCAAATTGATGCCGTGCCTGGATTTCTTCCCTTAATCTGATTGAGAAATTTAACTCTCTTAATCTGCTGGATTTCCATTTGTTTGTAATATTTTGATTTCATTTATAAAGAGCCCTGTGTTGATAACTTACTGATGTGATATATAATCACATTAACTCCTCTTGTTGTGCTATTTTGGCAAAATAATTGGATTTTATTTCATTTGGTTTTTCATGTTTGGGAGTCATTAACAGAACAATAGTTCATGGATTTCATTAGCCAATACAAATTTACTGTCCTGTTTGTTCAGCCTCAGTTTTTTGAGTTGAGCACTTTGCAAGCTGCACTTCCAATTGTCCAGGCACCATCTCCCTTCACTGCTGGAGCAAATCAGCATTGGTTTTCTGAGGATACAGTTGCTCCTTATGTTCAAACTGGTTCAGAAGGTGAGTAATATCATTCTTCTGATTCAAAAGTCAGATATAGCTTATATAACTCTATCAGGGCTCTCGGCCTGATTCTTTAAGATTCTCCAGGAGTGCTTGGATACATTGCAGGACATGCACAAAGCTCACAAATATCGTAAGTACACGGTTAATTGAAAATTGTTTTATGGTCAGTTGAAAAACGTTTGACATTAATTTTTGTAGATGTTGGGTATAATATTGTATTGGGCTGCTCAAAGTACATTTATTTTGCCACTAAGATTCCATTTTGCTTGCGAATGAGGTAAAACACTAATATGTAGGTTATTGTGGCTACTCTCAGTCGCGTCGGTGGTCTTTTAACTCTACCCCAGTTAGTTGAACCTTTCTCAGATTTTCTTCATCTATTTATGTTTTAGTGTGAACAGTTTTCCTTGCATGCTCAAGCAATTTAAGTTTGTAGCTTTTAGGTGAAGTTAATGAAGCATTTCTAACATAGCATATGTCGTAGATAACTGCAGTTTTCCTGACATGTTCAAGCAACCTCAGTTGAAGTTAGGTGAAATTAATGGCCACATGTTAACTGAGCTTATGTTGTAGGCTTATAGCTAAAATTATTAAGGGTTGGAATGTCAGAGAACCTTATATTTAAACAAAGTAAAGTACCTGACTACCCATAAGATTGAAAAATTCTCTAAATAAGCTGTTTAGTTTGAAAAATTACCCAGTCACTCCCTGGTGGTTGTAAATTCTTTGGAAAATAATTGATATTCTTGTATATTTGAGTTTGAAAATATTTAATTATGCATTTTGTGCTTGTATATGGTAAAGTAGTTGACTTTTCTTTTTTTTTTTTTATTGTAAAACTTAAGTTTATGGGTTGTGTAATTATAAGGGCTAAAAATTGAGAAAAAGTATCCAAAACGAAGTGAATGAAGAAAATTTTAATTATTGGGAAAATTTGGATGAGGGGTAGTGGAGGGCAAATAATTAATAAATAGGGCAATACTTTCAAATAATTTGTATTAAGGGCATACCAATTCAACCATACAAACGTGACTTTATGTTTGTTTAAAAAAAAGAACTCTTTGTATCAATTTAAATACTTTGAAAGTTTATTTAATTCTTTATATGTAATTATTGACAAAAAAAAAGTCTTATATATACAAAATTTTTATAGTATTAAATTTAAAATTTCCATTAATACAAAATGAATTTAATTAATTTAAATATTGTAAAGTGGGTTGTACGGCTCATTTAAGTACAAGTTTCTAGAAAAAATAATTTATACAATTTCGATTCAGTTCATGTGAAGGGGAAAAATGGTTTACTTATAAAAATTAAAATTATACAAGAAAAAAAAATCTACAACTAGAAATTAGGAAATATTAACCTTTATTTTCAAAGTCAACATATTTATATTATTTCATCAGGTAATATATTAATTTTTCCGTATTAAATTTTAAAATATTATCATTTATACACATTGGAAATAGATTTTAATTTATGAGTTAAAATATCAAATGAAAAATTAAGATTTTATTTCAGGAGTTAGAGTAATGTTTGTATCATTGATTTATTATGCCCCTAATACAAATTATTCAAAAGTACTACCCTCTTTATTAATTATTTACTATCTACTGCCCATAATCCAAAATTTCCCTTAATTATTTACAAAAAGCATTGCATCATATGATGTATATGATCGGTAGTCATTTTTCCATTGTTTTAGTTCTCTTTTAAAAAAAATTGTACCTTTTATTTTTGCGGCCTCTTTGATTGGTCATCTCACATGTTGGTTTTTAACCACTTCTTGCTGTTTCCGGAATAAATTTTAATATTCAAAACATGTTTTAAATAAACAACAACCCAAAGCCACCAGCAACTGAGCTACCAGCACCCTGCGAAATTTTGAGTGTGCTTTGTCCGATGATATGGCAATCTGTTTTATGAGAATATGTATCTTTACCAAGGATCAAATCACTTATTTGGATGGTATTCTGTTTTTGACGCACTCTCAATATGCTTTTTAAAAGTCTTCCCGATTTCTTAAATCTTTCCTTTTCTTTTTAATTTGACTTTGTTCCTCCTTGTGTTATGATAAAAAAAATTTCAAGGACTATATTTGTAAGGCCTGCTAAGCTGATCCTTACAGAAATTAGATAAGTCCCGTTCTATAATGGACGCATCACCTTTTCCCAAAGCATTCAACTTTGTAGTAATATACTTTCCGCAATAGTATGACCATTTACGTGCTCTTTTATCTTCTTCTGGTAATTCAATTCAAATTAAGCTGTCGGAACTTGTTCAATCTGGTCGGCTGGCTTTGATCTGGCCATAGCTGCTTGTGATGAGTAGCAGTGTGGTTCTTCACGTGAATAGCTGCATGTAATAGAGGTTAAAGTTTTGATAACCTGTTGAGAGGTTTATCGTAATGAGAAAGAAGTTTTAACTTTTAAATAGCTGAGTAGGCGTGCAAATGTGGACTTTATCTGGCAGTGTTTGACCAACTTTTCTTTTTCGAAATATCACTGTCATATTTTATCCAAGGTTTCAAGAGGTGGAATTAGTTGGTCAAGCATATCTGACCATCCACGGATTGTTTAATCGGCAAAATAATTATTTTATTTTCACTTGAAACTGAAACCTCTAATACCTAAGTTGAAGCCAGATTTTGCATTTGTGTTTTCTTGGTAATCAGAATGAACACTGTTTTCCAAGTGTCAGTTGCAGGAGGTGCTTCCCTGTTATTTTTCTTGTCTGAAACTTTTTACAGCCCTCTATTGTCATGGAAGAAGTAGCTATGCAGAAAGGGAAACTGGTTAAGTTGGGTATAGAAGTTGCTAAGATCACAGGTTAATGTTGTGAATTTCATCTAAAGTAAAATTAAATTGTTTAGCCAGTTTTTTGGGTTTTTATGCTACAGCAACTGAAAAGTACAACGAGATCAAACAAAGAGAAGATGAAAGGTGACATCTTCTCTTATGTTGGCAACTTGAGAATTTTGTGAATAATCTACATGAAAACCTTTTTTGTTTTCTTTTTTATAGAGAAGGGGGGATGAGCAAAATTACTAATCTACATGGAATGACTTTTCTACTAATTTCCTCTACTGAACATTTCATTTCGTATTCTTAAAGTGGTCTATTTTGCTCTTAGCTTCTCTAAACTGGGATCCTAGTCATGCTACCTAGTTCATTTTAAGCAATTTCTCCACATTTTCTACATTATCATCTTATAATCTTAGATAATGTAGGCATCCCATGCTCTTTCCTTTCCCCAGTGACTGCTAGGTGGTTGTTGAGCAACTAAGGATATTTCCATTGATTGTCACTCATTATTCATGACCTTGCACAGTATTGTGTTTCTGAATTAGAAAAGCGTTTACAGCTTAGCTTCTGATATCTGTTACTTTATTAGAGTGGTGCCGTTGAGGCATTCAAGAAATGTCTCCCATGATAGGAAGGACAAGGCTTAGATTATAAAGTTACTAAGGCAATAAGCTTCCCTTTCATTTGAGAATAAGGCAATAAGTTACCCTTTGATTTGAACATGTTTCTTCTGTACTGCATATGAAGGGACTAACTAAGATAAATACACAAAGGCTTTATGTATGAGGTGTTAGTTTGTGCTTTGCATATCATTTTGCTTCTTGATTGTAATGGGAATGTAAATAATTACGTTAAAAATGTTGAAAGACGTGTTGAAGGATTGAAACAGTGGAATGGAAATTTATTAAGTTGTTTGTAAAGAGAAATGGAAAGGTGCCAATACGGCGCCTGGCTACTTTCATTTAGATTTGTATTTGCTTTTGGTGGTTTTTTCATTTTGTGGAATGTTTGGAGTAGTTCTACTTTGTTGGTTCACTGTGGCTGTGATTCAGAACTGGGACATGTTTCTTTGAAAAATCAAGGACTAGCTAAACTTCTTTGTTTTCCTGTTCAGGAATGTCTCCTCTCACGGTTCTGTAGCTTCGGTTGGAGGAAACCCTTTTGCGTAGCGAACTTTGTATTCTCTCCTATCGGGTTTAAATTCTTTGTTATCAAGCGCTAATCTATCATATCAACTCTATTGCTGAAGCAGTAATTTTGAAGGGTTTGAACAAGTTTGAAGCAGGAATCTTTTCCCTTCAACATGGAATACTTGCCAGCATTCAACTTTAGCTGCGTGAGGTTGATCTTGAGTCGAACATGGCCCCGGTTATATATAACTTTTCGGGAGGGCTGGCCTTCGAGATTCAAGACAATCAACAAAATTTGTGTCAATCAATGAGCAGCAGCAATGTTGAAATCAAACAATATATTGATTGAATCCAAATGTATAGCAGATGATTTTCTTGCGCGAATAGGAAGCTTTGGACCAGCTTACCATGATATTTCTGTCGTCTTCATTTGCCTCATGAGGTCCATTGTGAAGCGAAAGGCAAGTGCCTTACAAAGAAGTAGTATTTTCCTGCTGTAGAAAAGAGATATTTCTGTTTAGGTAAATTGTGAAACTCGTATTCACAGGGATTGCTACTCAAGTTATAAATAACATGATGTTATTTGTGGTCGTGATTGTTGCTTTTTCAATGAATTCTCTGTCGTAGAAAAATAATAGTATATTTTGTTGGAATATGTGCTCAACAAAATGTATTATTTTTTTGGACAGCAAGAGCACCATTTTTATTCTAGTGAAGAATAACTCTTTTTTTCCCTTTTTGGGTGGACTTTTCATGTTACATTGCCGGAAATGAATAATTATAGATTTGTATTTTTATTTTTTTGTTGACAGGCGAATTGATAGCGTTTGTTTAGTATTGTCTCGTACTAACTAGAGCTTGTAACTTACTCTTTCTACTCCAAAATTATTGTCCACTTCGAGTTTGGGCATTACTTTTCGCAGTTTAGAAATTATTCACCTCAGTTTATTATTTTACGATTTTGTCCCTGAACCTTTTCTATTCCCCTTTCTTTTTCTCCTTCCTCATTTCTTCTTCTTTCTATTTTTCTCCTTCTCTAACTTCATCTTCTTCTTCCTTTTTATTAAATTTTAAATCCAGATTTACTAAAAATTGAAGTTTAAAAAAATGGCGGACCAAGATATACAACAACGGGAAGTAGCACCATCGATACCGGTAAATTTTTTTTTACCAAATCATATTTTTTTTAAAAAAAAACTGACTGCCCAGGCTGGCCGACCGGACTGACCGTCGGTCGGGTCGGCCAGCATGGCAGTTCTCTCTCTTTTTTTTTTTCAAATTTTTCTGGTTTTTTTTGTTGTAATTTTGTTGTTATAATTAATTTAGTTAAATTTATTTATAATTAATGTAATTAGTTGTTTTATTATTATTTGATAATTTAGTTAAATTTATTTATAATTAATGTAATTAGTTGTTGAATGTTGTGTTATTATTTTTTATATGTCATTTAATTTTTTTGTGCTTTAGTAACATGTTTAATTTAATTTATTAGGTATAATTTTTTTAATTTAATAATTAGTGTAGATTAGGTATGTGGTATATATTTGTTTAATTTAATTAATTTTATATTTGTATGTGGTATTTAGTTAGTATTAATTTTTAGGCTTTAATAATTAATTATTATTTACGTAGATGAATTAGTTATTTTGTTATGTATATTATATTTTTTTAAATTTGATATATTTCATTTACAAGATTATGGTGTTGACGGTGTTGATTACAGTAATCATTTCGATACTAACATAAGATTCGCAACTATTGAAGCCACTGTACTATGCGCGAAAAAGACTGCGATATCTCTTAATTTCAAAGTGGTTAAGGCGTCGAAGACAGATGAGACTAAGAAATTATTACGATATCCAAAGGGTGTTCCCCCTAGAGATATAGAGAATCGGGTGCGAGAAACAAAGGCGCAGTATTGTGGATGTCCGTTTCGGTTTCTAGCCCAAATTCGCCCAGGCGAATCTACTTTTGGGATTCGTTCATGTCCCGGTCGTAATGGTACGCATAACCAGCCGTTTGGGAGCTTCGAGGAGGGACAGATGCAGATGAGCGGCCTTAGTGACAAAACGAAGGCGATTGTTGACGAGTTGACTGCCATTAATGTAAAACCGTTTGCAATGCTGCGGGCGATTCAGCAGAAATGCCCGAACGAGCACGTGATCAAACAGATATACAACTACAAGAGTAGGATGCAGGTGGAAAAGAGGAAGGGTAAAACGTTGGTGGATCACTTCTTTGACATTACTCAGCAACACAAGTTTGTGATTACTACGGCTAATGAAAAAGGTGTATTGAGTCATATTTTCTGTGCACATCCAGTATCTGTAGAGTTGATCCCAGCATACCCGTGGTATATTGGCATGGATACTACGTATAGAACAAACTGGTATAATATGCCGCTGTTACAAATTATTGGGATCACTCCAACCAACAAGAATTTTCTGATTGGATATGTAATTATGAAGGAGGAGAAGAAGGAGAGTTATACTTGCGTATGTCAGCAGTTTCGGGATATGATTGGATGGGAGGTGCACCCGTATGCCATAGTGACATATAGGGAGTTAGAGCTGGCAGAAGCAATCAGTTTGATATTTCCAGATTCTGTACATCTTCTGTGCGTGTGGCACATTAACAAATGTGTTTTTAAAAATGCACGGCGACATTTTGGAAAGAAATTCGCAAACTGGTGGAAGAAGGAGATGTTCGATCCGATACTTGAAGCTCCTACTGAGTACCTTCATGAAATGGTTGTGATTAATATGTCGTACTACAGGCACACAAATGCGAGAAGTTATGGAGAGTTGGTGCATCCTTATTGGTTTAGGTAGCGTGGCTGTAGGCTGGGAAGATGAGTACCACTCTAGGATAGCAGAGAGGAATAGACTATCTAGATCTAATTAGTAGTTGCATAACATTTATTTAAATTGTTAAAACTAGTTATTTAAATTTTATATCTTCCATTGCAAATTTTTTCAAACATTAAAACACATAACATTCTGAAATTGAGAAGAAATCTAAGAAGTAACACATAACATAACATTCTGAAATTGGAAAGAAATCTAAGAAGTAACACATAATATAACATTCTGAAATTGGGAAGAAATCCAAGAAGTAACACATAACATCCTAATAAAATACACATCAATCTCTCTGGCTCAATCGAAATTCATCCTGAAATTGAGCAAACAATGCCTCATGCTCCTTTACTCTCTCTGCATCAATTTCGCGGATTGTCTTAAGTGTGTTTCTATGAAGTTCGGACAATCGGTTGACCCACTGTAAAAAAAATAAAAAAATTACACAATTAATAATATATTGTATAAACATTTCAAGAAATGGTTATGCAATAAAGACTTACGTGAGATGCGGTTCTAACTCCACCTATAGTAGTGGCATCTAAAACCAAGAACGGATGCGAATATTTCAAGTACCACGTGAGGTAATTAGGAGCGCATTCAGTCTTATCATGATCACTCCGCTCAAAATACTCTAGATCCAACCCGTTACTGAATGGAAATTGCATCCAAGCATCAAACGCCTCAGTGGGCCTCCATGAAACCTTGTAGGCGTGGTGATTACCACTACGATTTGCACTCAGGGGATGAGGAAAGGGTGGAGAGATGACCTAGATGCATCCAATCTGGCGCAATACTCGACTAGGCAAGTATGGCTCAATAATATCTCGATACTATATCCAGCCACTGTATATGGTCCTCAGTCATCGGAAATAGGATCGGGGTCATAAGGCAACTATTCAACCTGCACAAAAGATATAAGATACGTTAATAACATTATTTTGCATAACTATTATTAAATTAAAGTGCGAAAAGTGACGTACTTGATCTGGTGTCAGCTTGTCGATCTGGCTGCGAAGGTGCATCAAACGATCTGGACTGTTATCAAGATTTGGGACATTCCACCATCCAGCTCGGGGTCGGTCAGGAGCCTTAAAGGGACCGCCCTGAGGTGGTCTGAAACATGGAAAGTACACATATATTCACGCCTGAAGTAGTGTGTAGCAACCAGACATTGAGGCATTTTTCAATCTGGTGGACACGCCTAGCTGACGATAGAGATAGGCTAGAGTAGCAGACCCCCAAGAAATATTGCCATAGGTGACTAGGCCATCAATAAACTCGGAGAGGATCGCCGCTCTAATCCCATTCCCACTCCTGTTGGTAAAACACGTGTTCCCTAACATGACCCATAACCAGGCGGTCACCTGATCTAAAGCAAGCGCCGCCGCTCTGCCTGTCTTGCAACAAGGCCCGACTGAACCCCTCCACCGTGGATTACTTTATTATTCTGTAGCGTCTGGCTAGTCATTCTCAGCGCTCTCATGACCAAAGTCCTATAATCGACAGTCCCATGTTGTGTTGTAATCAATCTACCTTTAATGGGAATACACAATATCTGTCGCACATCGTGTAACATGATGGTCTTCTCCCCAAAAGGCATGTGAAACATGTAGGTGTCCGGCTGCCACCTCTCTACAAATGCTGTAATCAATGCCTTATCAATGTTGGTGCGCCTGATGTCCACGATGTGGGATATCCCTGTACCAGCCAACAAAGTCTGAGCCTTAGTAGACATAGAACCCTTCTATTCTTTCAACAACTTGAAGTATGTGACTCTTGTATCCATCTCCAAGGAGGGTTTGTACGACTTATCCGTCAAGCGATGGGTCACATGACCAAGAAAACTGGAAATAACAGAACCGTCATGAGGGCCACCAACAACTGGTCTGGTGACAACCCAAGACTGGGCATTACTCACTGAAATTAACGTAAACAAATCATTCAATTTTTTTTCGATAAAATATTTGAAAAAACTTAACTACTAAAATGTAAAATATAAACCCATACACTAATTTCTTACCTGATGATGATGATGCAGATGCAGATGCAAATGCAGTTGCAGATGCAGATGTTGATTCAGATGCAGCTCCAAGTCCTCTAACCCCAAGATGAATAAAATTGCTTCGTCTAGCTGGAGGTGAATGTGGAGGTGAATGTGGACATGAATGTGGAGGTGAG